TTTCAACTATCTGTTCAGAGATCCTACTAATCTTCATCTTCATCGATTTCAAACTGTGCTAATTCGTCGGTAACCTCTGATAGATGTTGCGCCGTTTCCAGACATTCTTGTAAAGAGTACGGTTTGAAGGCGTGGCCGGACCCTTGGTAGAATTTGGACTGAAACTCCACCCAGTGGAGTCGAAGTGCGTGAAGAAATGCTGATAATCCTTCCATCATGACGAGGATTGATATGGACATGATAGCAAAAAAGAAGAAAACCTGCAAATTCTCTGGCTGTTCAAAACATGCGCTTGATAAACCATACTAACCACATAGGTGAGGACTGACGATATGACCAAATTCCCTTCATACGAGATACCTCGAATAAAGACCATGTGCCAAAGTACTTCAGAAAGCTCTGAAAAAGCAGCCGCACTGGCACTTGAACATTACAAAGTTCTCCTTCACATAATAAACGAATTGTTACAGTGCTTTTTGTGTGACCATTATAAAGGGTGTCCCAAAAAATATGCCTATTGTGATTTTTTTGGGGCGATATATGCCCTCCAAGCGCAACTCTTTCAAGATTCTTGTGATATCGAAATGATGATGGTAGGAGAACTGTCTTTTCCGTCTTTATTGTTCATTTAACTTGAAGCCAGCTCTATATTAGGTCCAATATGCGCGAAAGACAACCAAATTACTGCGTTTAATACATCTGCGACACCCTATATATGACACTGACAGCCGCCGAACAGCCACTTCAAGAGAAGAAAAATCAACAAAGCTTAGTTTTGTGAAGAATAAAGACATGTGAAGTATTCAGCAATAAAAACACGATATCTGCACGTTAAGTCCTATGTGAATCGCTTTCAAGACTTATAAGAACTTTAAATTTCTTGGAAAACCCTACTTCCCATTAATGGTAACAGAAATTAAGCATTAGAAAAACCGGTAAAGATCGTTCTGAAGTGCTGCAAAAACTCAGCCCCGTAGGGGACTCGAACCCCTGACCGTTAGATTAA